CAGATCTCAGCTTCCTGAGTAGCTAGGATTATAGGTGTGAGCCACTGGCACCCACCTGTTTATTTTCTATTTTATCAACATTGTTATTTCTTTTCTGGGAGATTCCTACAAAACATTCATCTTACTGGAAAGTGACACCTGCCCAGTCTGTGGGATCCCAGAGGGTCTAATCTTATGTGAGCAAGGAGCTACTAGGTGCCCTGAGAGGTTCTCCCAACAGCCTGTGCAGCCTGTGTGGTGGTGTTACATACAGGCGTGTAGGCTCAGTGGACTAGGATAGGCAAGACAGTGTTAGGGAGTCTCCCTAACAGCTCCCCTGCTTCTGCTTCTTCCCAGGGCTCTTTTCTGATTTCTAGAATTTCCCAGTGACGAGTAGTCAGATTGTAGTAAGATGAGAGGATTTGAGGACAGGACAGGGCAGATGTATAGATCTGACCTTCAGCCTCTCTGTGGGTCAGGCTGTGGGATATAGATCAGTGCAACCCCTAGCAGCCCTAAAATATCATAGATCTTTTGGCACCAGCTACTCCCATGTAAGCCCCAGCCCTGAGTCATCTGACTTGAATTGCATATGGGTTCTATCTGAGCTGAGGCAGCTCAAGACTGGACTACCCAAGGTGTAAAGCCCCAGCACACCCAGAAGGGTTGAAGTCCCTCTCCATGAGGGCAGTTCTGAGGGGCACTTGGGCTGCTGCTGCTGTGATTAGCCCCAGGGAGATATTGTAGTCCATTTGTGGGTAGAGCCAAGGGCCTGTAGACTTTCAGGATGTGTACAGCACTCGTAGGAAAGACTGTCCCTTACACAAATTGTGTCAGATTGCCTTGCCTTTCAATTTTTGAAAGAATCTCTGTTGTTTTGACATCTCCAAGAACAGACAGAATCAAAGTTGTGCTCTGGATTAGGCTTCTCTTTTCTTCACCCTCTTGGAGGTAAAGATGAGAGGTAGAGCAGGGCAGCATGGGTAGAGCGGGGCAGCATGGGTAGAGCGGGGCAGCATGGGTAGAGCAGTACTACATGGCTGAGGCTGTACATGAGCTGTGTGCAGAGGCTGTGGCCTCCACCCCAGATGGCCCTGTGCCAGGCGAGATAGGATAATACGATTATTTTCAATTAGATTAATAAAGAATAATTAGATGTCATAAATCAAGTAATCATAGGATATTGTCATGGGAAAACTATGTAGGTAGAATTAATTAGTTTTAAAATAAAGCGTTTATTTTAATTGCTTGAAATGATGGAGCCCTTAATTGCCAATGCATCATTCTGGCCTGCATATTTCGGCTGTTGTAACAATGTGACGGGTTTGTTCCCTGCATTTCTGGGGAAACAATAGAGGAGAGTTGATTTCATCACCTCACAATGAGCCTTCTACTGTGAGGTTCTGGAAACTCCCACCAGGCCGCAGGCAGGTGGCAAGTGTGGGCTGGGCTTTGCCTGGCCCTGCCCATGGCCTCCCTGATGCTGGTGTATGTGTGTATCTTTTTTTTTTTTTGCTGGTCCTGAGGCTTGGGCTCTGGGCCTGGATGCTGTCCCTGAGCTTCTTTTGCTCAAAGTGAGTACTTTACCACTTGAGCCACAGCAGTATACAGCAGTATCACTTCTGGCTTTTTTGAGTAGTTTATTGGAGATAAGAGTCTCATGGACTTTCCTGCCCCTGCTGGCTTCAAACAACAATCCTCAGAGCTCAGCCTCCTGTGTAGCTAGAATTACAGTATGTTGGGTATCTTTTAATACATGTATGTGTATGTATATATGTGTATGTCCCTGAGTATATGTGCATGCATGAGTGTGTATCTATATGTGTGCAAATGTGTGCACACCTATATGCATATATGGGAATTGTGTATATCTGTGCACTCTGTGGGTTTGTACCTGAATGTGTGTATGCATGTATTTGCATGTCTGTGCACATGTGTGTGCATGTGTGTGAGGATTGTATGCATGTGCATGTATGAGTTGTGCATGTGTGTGTGGGCATATACCTGAGTATCTGTGTGTGTGCATATGTGTATGAAGCTAGACTGGCATGTCTGCATACATATGTGAATTGCATATGCCTGTGTGTCTTAAGCATGAGTTGTGCATCTGTTAAGGTGTATGTGTGTCCTCATGGCTATGTGTGTGCCTGTATGTGAATTACACATGGCATCCTGTGCAGGAATAGTCTCTCAAACTCTTTTGCCTGGAGCCATGTGATAGGAAGGACATGCTACCCTGGTCTTGATGTTTCCTGCTGGATTGAGGTGCCAGGCTATTTTTCTTGGCTCTTGTGGCAGGCCTGTAGTTCAATATATGGCAGGTACAGCATAGGCTACAGTGGCTTCTGAGGGTCCAGAAGCTGCCCAACTTATTCTCCAGGCTAGCCTGCCTGGGCAGGCCTAGGCAGTCTTAGGCATCTGAGTCCTATCAGAGCCCAGAGCAAGGGCCTAGGCCTGGGAGCCATCCCTGTCCTGCAGGAGCTACCCCTGCATATAGGAATAGTTTGTTCAACTTTTAACTAAACACCCTTCCTAGCCTTGGGGGGGAGTGGGGGAAGATGGCAGAATATAAAATGACTTCATTTACTTCAAAGGCTCCTGAGAGGCAGGGTCCGGTCCTGAAGCTGATGTTTGAGGTCTGGAAAGGTGGATCCTTACCCTGAGTCAGCCCAGGGAAGACCTGGCCCAATTAGTACACACACTAGGTCAATAGGGTCTAGGCCTGAGCACTATCCACCATCCACTAGCATGGGCACAGGCCTCACAGGCCTCACCTGGACCATGGCCTGGTCTTCCATCCTCCCCAGTCCATCCTGCACAGGCCTGGAAGTTTCCTAGGAGCCTGGCTCTCGCTGCTTTCTCTCTCCTTGCAGCGTGTGACTTGAAACACACTTTTGTGTTTCTTATGACAAAGGGGAAAAGGGAAGGTATAGGTAGCTTTAGGGGATGCCACAAGGCAGCAGAGTTGGTGGTGGAATGCATGGCTAAGGAGTGTTTTAGAAGGCCTTGTTCCTCTTCCTCCTCTTTGCCTACCCCTTGCTACATGGGCCTCAGCCTGGGCCCCTCTCTCCACACCCCATGTAGCCTCACCCCACCCAGCCAAAGTTCCTTCTTGGATGAATCCTTCCTATTGCCTTTGTTCTTGCCCTTTGCCTGTTATATTTTTCTGGTGACTGTAGCTGTATCTCTCCTGGTCAGGCTGTGCCTGGCTACAGGTGGGTTGAGTGGGAAGGGTAACTAAGCCAGTGGACAAGGGATTGTGAGAGGCTGCAGCAGCACCAGGTATCTGCTCTCCTAGATATGCCCTTGGCTTTTGGAGCAGCTCCCTTCTGCCTCTGGGGTCACCATTGCCTGTCAAGAGCAGACTCCTGTGAGACTGAGGTAGTGTGGGAGGTCTTATAGGTGGGATTGGCTCTGAGAAGATGCTGGAAGCTTTCTTAAACACAGGTCCTACGGTCTGGGGAGTGACTCTCATCTAGGACAGTAGCCTGTGAGGAGAAGCCAGGTGACCTACCACCTCACTGCTGTTGCACCCTTTGGTGATGGCTTGCAAGTTCTAGAGCACTTCATTTGTCAGCCCAGGTGCCTGGGGAAGTCCATCTAACATTTCCTGCCTCAGTTTCCCTAAAGTAAAGAAGGGTGGTTGTGATCATTAGAAATTGTGCTGTTTGCGGTGGATGTGAGGGGTGCACCATTTATTCAGCACCCCAGGTCTTCACATGATTCCTGCCTGTCCATCAGGCATCTGCCGAGCAGGTGCTAGTGCTGGAGGCTGGGCTGGAGAGAGCAGGTCAGCTTGGCTCCTATTCCTAAGCTAGCCTGGAATATCATTACTGTGCTGCAGAGAGGAGGGAAGAGGGGCTCTTGAGGGGAGACTGAACTTGCAAGGAGCGAAGAGAGGGCAGGGCTCCTAAGGGAGACACTGGAGCAATACCTGCACAGGTTGGACCCAGTTAGTGGCAGGAGCACTGCAAGTGTGCAGGGCTAGGGCTAAAAAACATTGGCATGGACAATGGGACCTGGGGAGCAGAGGACATGGCTGGTGTTAAATCAATTCAGTGACACTAGTTAAAGTAAGCACAGTGAGGAAGACTTTGTTCAGAGCCACAGTGAGAGAAGCAGGAACGGAGGCAATGAAGTTTTTCAGTGGTTAGAGATGGTGCTCAACTGCGACATGGATGGCTGAAGAGAACTTAGGGCCAGGGAATATGGCAAGGCAGTGATGGAAAGTGAATTAGAGGAGACATCAGGGTTTGAGGTAGCTGGAAGCAGGCCAGGGGATTAGACATCACCTGAGGGATGATGGAGGCTAGGAACATGACTAGGAGGGAGGGTGGGCTGTTGGGGGAGGGATGGTAGGGGGTGGGACTTGTGCTAAAGGACTTGGCAAGGTTCTTGCTAAAACTGGGTTTTATAGAGAAATGTATAGATGGGCCTAGAAGAACCATTAGGAGCCTGAATTGTTTGGCCAAGACAAGAATCATTTTTGGGTTTGTTTGTTTTGGGCACTAGTGGGGATTGAAACCAGGGCTTCATACATGCTAGGCAAGTGTTTGACCAATGCGTCCCACCTCCAGCCTCAAACAAAAGCTCTTTCTCATCGCGGTGATGGAAAGCTCTAGAAGCTGCTTGGCGCTCTGAAGAGGATAACCAGGGCCAGAGGAGCTGGTGTGAGAGCAGGGATCACTGTGATTGCCCAGAGAGGTTGGGACCTTGATGGTGCCAGCTGGGTACACAAGCTCTTAGAATGGAGGGGGGTACGTGAAAGGCAAGTCTTTTGTACACCACCTTCTAGAAGCCCACCCTGAGCAGCAACCAGAGAGGGTCCCAGCTGGGCCCTTATAGCTCATGGAGGGGCCTGGTTCCTCCACCGTCACCAGGCCATTCAGAAAGCAGAAAGTCTCCTCTCAGAAGGTGCCCAAGGTGAGAACCCCTGCCAGGATGCCTTTCTGGAGGAAGACACAGGGCTCTGTCACTCACCTATCCTTCCTTGATCCCCAGGTGACTATGCCCTGCCCAGCATGGCAACCCCCCTGCAGCCACCTCCAGACCCCCAGTTTGTCCTTCGAGGCGTACAGTCAGCAGTGAATGCGCTCCATTTCTGCAGAGAATCCCAGGCTCAGGGGAGCTCACTTCTCTTCTCAGGGTAAGTAGCAACTGCTTCCACCCAAGCCCAGAGGTAATGTTGGGGTTATGGGCTAGCATGATGCCCAGTGTTTACTTGGGGCACTAGAAGAGGGTTTCAGGCGACTTGGCATCTATGTTTATTGCACAATCAGAGCCTGCTTGGCAGTGTCCTTTTGGGGCCTCTATGGAGAAGCAGGGGCGTGCGTCCCTTTGTTATAGACCATGAAGCGTATGTTTCAGTGGTATGCGCCCCCCCCCACACACACACTCCAGAACAGCACCTGCTTTCCTGCAAAGGTTCCCCAAGCTCAATCTATTTCCTGCCCTCACTGGGAGGGAGGGCCATATATTTTGTGTGTAAGTTTGTCCATCCTGGGGCTTGAACTCAGGGCCTGGACACTGTCTGTGAGATGTTGTGCTCAAGGCTAGCACTCTACCACTTGAGCCACAGCTCCAAGTTCCGGCTTTTTGGTGGTTGATTGGAGATGAGGGTCTCACAGACTTTCCTGCCTGGGTCGGCTTCAAACTGTGATCCTAAGATCTCAGCCTCCTGAGTAGGTAGGATTACAGGCGTGAGCCACTGACACCTGATGGGAGGGCAAGTTTTATCCTGGGTTTAAGGAACTATTGGCTGAGGATCTGGAGTCACCATCAGCTTTGTGTGGGGTCCCGGTGGGCCAAGATGGGCTAAGCGTGGTCTCAGAATGGCCACGTGACTCCAGCACTTCCCTTCTCTCCTGTACTTGGCTCCTGAACAGGTCTCAGAGTGGCCTGGTACACATCTGGAATCTGCAGACACGGAGAGCAGTCACCATCTTGGATGGCCATGGAGGCCAGAGCGTGACCTGGCTGCAGTCACTGCCCCAGGGTTCCCAGCTCCTCAGGTAAATCATGATCGCAGTGAGTACTGTTCCAAAGGAGGTCATAACGTGGCCTCCCACAGAGGCTCTCATGGCTTTAGCTGGCTGTCAGAGCAGGGTGGAGGTGACTGAAGAAGTCAAAGCCATCTGGCTAGACTAGCCACAGCATGTGGAGGACACAGGGCTTAGCCCCTGTCTTGGGGAGACAGGCAGATCTGGCCTCTTACCTTTGCTGTCTTCGTGGAGACCTGGCAGTGCTCTGTGGCAGGGCTGGGAGGCACCACTTCAGGAGGCCAGAAGATGGGGCTGGTGACATTTGAGGGGCTGCTGCCAGCCCCGGTGTGAGACAGTAGCAAAGGCCAGGCTTCATGGAGTCCACAGAGTTGTGGCTGGGAGGTGGGTAGAGGGAAGAGCACTATGTACTAAGAGGAAGAAAATGGACTGAAGCCTGGAAGCACCTGGCAACAGCCAAGTCCTAGACTAGAGCTCTGGCATGTGTCCTAGCACTGAGTTCAGAAGCACAGTGTGTTTGGAAAGCAGGTATAGGATAAGGTTTTTACCTGTCTAGTCTCCTTCCTTCAGGCCTTGGCTGTGTGTTTGTGTGAGTATATGTGTGCGCATGTGCACACATGTGCACATGTATAAATGTGTCTGCTTTCCATCCCCCACAAATCACTTGTGCACCACCTACCTGGGCTAACCCCCATCTGGAAGGGACCACAGAGGTGGTTTATCCCCATCAAAGTGTTGGATGTGCAGAGGCAGAGTCTCCAGTGCTTGCCAGCTGCCAGACCTGCCCCCCCCTGCCCTCACCAGGGTGCTTTTTGGGCAAGTAACCTCTTGATAAGAGCCTGGTGGAGGGACAAAGATGGTTCTTTCTGTAGCATCAGCAGAGGTGGAAAGTCTATCACTCCTGGTGGTGTACACCCACCAGTGTCACCAGTGGCCTTGAGGCACTAGAGGCTGGACAGCCTGCGGGGATCCTGAGGTAAGAACTGCCTGGTAGTGGTGACAGATCCAGGGATACCAGGTGGGCCAGGAAGCATCAGAAAGTGGAGAAGACAAGAGACTTCTCTGTTTCACTTTAGAAAGGACATGGCAAAAACTAGGAGGGGGGGGGCTGGGAAGGTGGCTCAGTGGTAGAGTGCATGAGGCCCTGGGTTCGATTCCTCAGCACCACATAAGCAGAAAAAAGCCAGCAGTGGTGCTGTGGCTCAAGTGGTAGAGCGTTAGCCTTGAGCAAAAGAGCTGAGGGACAGCACCCAGGCCCAGAGTTCAAGGCCCATGACTGGCAAAAATAATAATAATAATAATAATTCAGAAACTAGGAGGGGATAGCATGGTAGGCCTGGCCATAAGCCTTCCTCCAGGGCCACCAGGCTACCAAAGCACCCATTATCCTCAATCAAGGAACATCAGTCCCTAAGCATGGACTGCTGTCTCCAGCACAGGAACCCAAAGTGCTGCCTGCCTGAGCAGCCCTGCCCCTATCCAGACCTGCAGTTGCTCTCCTGATGCTTGGCACTCTTTGTGTTTGGAGTATGCCTATGCCACTACCTCCAAGGCCCAGAGCTCTAGAAGCACAGGTTTGTGCTACTCTAGACCTGGTACCAGGGCTTCTTGGGCACAATAGAGTCCAGTCCCCAGAGGACAAAGCTCAGTCTGGCCCATAACAGCATGCAGATGAATTTTATGTGGAAGTATTCAGTGTCCACTACTCCAAAGATGGCTGGCAGGTAGCTGAGGGACCAGAGTTGCCCAGGAGGGTGGTAGCCCTAGCCTTGGGTGCTTTTAGAGCCTTCTCTGAACCTTGCTTCCATCACACCCTACCCTTGTCCTTCCTGGGGTGAGGTCTGTGTGGTCTTCCTTGATTATCAGACACTGTTTTCAAGTAATCCTACAGAGCCATTTGCATCCAGAGTTTGTACACCTTCTCTGAATCTCCCACCTAGCTGGGAGGTGCTCAGAGGGCAGCCTTGACCATGGAACGCAAGACTGGTGGTACAGTGTCCAGGTGTGCAATCATGTTGCACTAGAGATCTAGGGTGCTGAGGCTGCCTGCATTCAGACTATGCCCAGCTGTGTTTGGAAGCTAAGTTCCAAGGGCCCTTAAAGGGGCTGGGGACTTTCATGTCTAGAAGGACTGGAAGACTGCCCACTCCCCCTCCACCCCCCCCCCCCGCCCCTGCTCTATCTACACCTGGGCCCTATCAGCCCATTCAGCTGGGCATTTCTTTACATTTTTCACTGTGAAATATGACATACTTACAGGAAAGGGAGGCACAGAGCCTTGTACTAGCACAAGTAGCACCTGAGTAATCACTTTGCAGTCAAGAAGGCAGTATTACTGGCCCTCAGCCCCACCTGCCTTCCTCACAAGTACCACTTGCCTTCCCTAGAGGCAGATGCTGGCTCCATGGCTTATTCTTGTTTTACTGTCTTTTTTCTTTTTCTTTTTCTTTTTTTTTTTTTTTGGTCGGTCATGGGGCTTGAGCTCTGGGCCTGGGCGCTGTCCCTCAGATCTTCAGCTCAAGGCTAGCGCTCTACCACTTGAGCCAGGCACTACTTCTGTTTTTTTTCTGTTTATGTGGTGCTGAGAACTCGAACCCAGGGCCTCATGCATATAAGGCAAGCACTCTATCACTAAACCACCTTCCCAGCCCCTTACTTTTTTCTTTCTTTCTTTTTTTTTGGTCGGTCGTGGGCCTTGAACTCTGGGCCTGAGCGCTGTCCCTCAGCTCTTCAGCTCAAGGCTAGCTCTCTACCACTACAGCGCCATTTCCAGTTTTCTGGTGGTTTATTGGAGATAATAGTTTCACAGACTTTCCTGCCCGGGCTGGTTTTGAACTGGGATCCTCAGATCTCAGCCTCCTGAGTAGCTAGAATTACAGGCATGAGCCACCGGCCCCCGGCTTTACTGTCTTTTTTTTTCTACTGGGGTTTGAACTTAGGCCCTTGCTACTTGCCAGGCAGGTGATCTACCTCCTGAACTATGCTCATATCCCATATTGCTTTAGTTATATTTTTGAATAAGGTCTTATTTTTGCCTGCTGTTAACCTAAAACCACTATCCTACTACCTTCCGCCTCCTGCATAGCTGATATCTCAGGCATATGATACCACAACTAGGTAGGCTTTACTGTCTCAAAAACATATATTTCAGGTGGGCCCTGGTAGCTCACACCTGTAAACCTAGCTACTCTGGAGGCTGAGAACTGAGTATCATGGTTCAGAGCCAGTCTGGGCAGGAAAGTCTGTTGAAACTCTTATCTCCAATTAACCACCAAAAAGCTCCACGCTTTGGCTTAAAGTGGTAAAGCACTAGCTTTGAGCAAAAAACAGCTCAGGGACAGCACACCAGAACCTGAGTTCAAGCCCCACAACTGACAAAAACAAAAACAAAATAAGACCATACATTTCACTTAACCTCTGTGAGGTGCAGCAGGGATTGCACAGCCACAATTCCTTTCTGTCATTGGCCTCTTTAGTGTGGTGGCCACTGGATATGCTGCTCACCTGCACTGCGCTTCTGGCTTGCCCACTTGAGACTGTTAGAAACAAAGCTGCCAGGAGGTCTCCTGTCAGAGCCTCCTGGTGCCCAAGTACATACATATTTGTAGTTTGAACCCTGGACCCAGATCTGGGATGTCTGGGACACAGCATATGTGCATATTGGACTTGTCATATGCCATGAAGCAGGAACACCCACCTCTGGGGCCTGGGCTTCTGAGTGTGGCTTGATGTGAGTTTTCTAAGCATTGTGGACCCACTTGTGCTTGTCAGCCAATTGGATAAACTCTTAACTACCTCGGACCTCTTGCCCATTTCTTTTTTCTTTTTTTTTTTTTTTTTTTGGTTGGTTGTGGGGCTTGAACTCTGGGCTTGGGTGCTATCCTTCAGCTCTTCAGTTCAAGACAAGCGCTCTGCCGCTTGAGCCACAGCACCACTTCCAGTTTTCTAGTGGTTTATTGGAGATAAGAATCTCAAGGACTTTCCTGCCTGGCTTTGAACCACGATCCTCAGATCTTAGCCTCCTGAGTAGCTAGGATTACAGGCGTGAGCCACTGGCGCCCAGCTTGGCTTATATTTCTTGATTTGAACTCAGGCCTCATGCTTGCTAAACTGGCACTCTATCACAGAGCCACGCATCTAGCCCTATTTTGCACTGTTTTGTTTTGTGCTGATACTGGGGCTTGAATTTAGGACTAAGGCACTCTCCCTTAGCTTTTTGCCCAAGGCTAGCACTCCACCATTTGAGCCACACCTTTACTTCCAGCTTTTGCTGGTTAATTGGAGATAAGACACCCATGAACTTCTTTGCCAGGGCTGGTTTAGAACCATGATCCTCTGATGTTAGCCTCCTGAGTAGCTAGGATTACAGGCATGAGACATAAGTGGCCAGAATACTGGTTTTGTACCACAATCCTCAGATCTCACCTTCTTGAATAACTAGGATTACAGGTGTGAGCCACCAGCACCCAGGTGCTGGTTTTTTGTTGTTGTTGATGGTTTGTTTTTGTTAGTTCCTGTATGATCCTGGCCAAAATGAATGGACTGTCTGGGCATTATTATTGTTGTTGTTATTAGTATTACTGTTATTATTTGGGTACTGAAGATTGAACTCAGGACATTTCACTTGCTGTGCCTCTGAGCTACGTCCCAGCTCTATTATTATTAATTTAGTTGTACAAAGGTTACAGTTTCATAAGTCAGGTTGAGTATAATGCTTCTAGGTCAATGTCATTCCATCTTCCTCCCTTATTTCCCCACTTCCATCCCTACCATCAAATTATAGTTCATTTTTTATATAATGTACATTGAATATAATGATTATATTTTGCTCACCCTTCCTCCTCCATTCCTGTCCTCCCCACATTACCCACCCTGAAAAACATGTTTTCACTGCTGCTGTTTATTTTTCTTCCCGCTCAGGCACACACCCAAGTTGTCACCTGCCGACCATAGGCTTCCCAGTGTGTCTGGGATGACAGGTAGAGGCCACTATGTCTAGCTGAAATTTGTCACTGTTGTCATGGCACTTCCAATGAATAAAGTTCGTTATCTTAACGGAGCCACACTTGCCAGGCTATCCTCTGTGCTCAGTGTTTCTGGGTCTTATAGGGCTCCTGACACTGAGGTGTGGCCACACACCCCATCTCTCAGGAGCTCACTGTCATTCCTTTTCTTTTTTTTTTTTTTAACCAGTCCTGGAGCTTGAATTCAGGACTTGGGCACTGTCCCTAAGGGCTTCCTGCATGCTAGGCAAGCACTCTACCACTAAGCCACACCCCCAGCCTGTCACTCCTTTTAGCCCCATGGTTTCACTGGAACTTCCTATGGTATGGGATGTAGGCTGTGTCCACAGGAAATTTATTGGTTCTATCGTCCCTTCCCTCCTCCGCATTCAGCCACGCTGGTATCTGAAGTCGTGAGCAAGAAAGGAGATGTTGGGCAGAGGTGTTGGCAGCAGTGTGCCAGGTCTTTAGTCCTCTCTGAAATAATTTCTCTGTTTCTTATTTTTCATGATATGACTAATTCTTTTCTTTTGTCGGTATGGGGCTTGAACTCAGGGCCTGAGGCACTATCCCTCATTTTGCTCAAGGCCAGTACTCTATCACTTTAAGTCACAGTGCCACTTCTGTATTTCTGGTGGTTAATTGTAGATAGCAGTCTCACTGACATTCCTGCCTGGGCTGGCTTTGAGCCATGATCCTTAGATCTCAGCCTCCTGAATATCTAGGTTTACAGGTGTAAGCCACCAGTGCTTGGCTGATTCAACCACTTTTGAAGAATACTTTTCAGATGGCTTGTAGAATGTGCTAGGTTGGACTTGTCTGATATTTTCTCAGGATCAGAACAAGGTTTTGAGTGTGGAGAAGAAACCCAGAGAGGTGAACGCCCTTCCCATCTCATGGTACTACAGGCACATGCATCCCTGTGGCTTATTATAGGTGAGGCTGCCCTGGACCACTTAAGTGTCTGTTGGGGGTCCACAGTCTGTTAATATCTATCAGGTTAAACATTCCTAAACTGAAAATCCAATCCCCCAAAATCTGGAAGGTTTTTAATTTTTTTTGGTGCTATTGGAATTTGAACTCAGGGCCTCCCACTTGCCTGAGCCACATCCCCAGCCCTTTTGGCTTTAGTTATTTTTTAGATAGGGGCTTGCTTATGCCAGGCTAGCCTGGACCACCATCTTCCTGTAGCTGGGATGACAGTCATGGGGGGGGGCATCTGTACATTCCACCAAGATGGAGCAGAAAGCCATATGAATGGTGGATGATGGGAGCCTGGTTTCTCCCTCACAGAAAACGGTCACCAAGAAATAAAGAGCCAGAGGGAGCTGTGAAATTGTGCAGAGATGAGATGATAGGCATTCCACCACATTCAGCTTGTTGACATGGGAACCTTGCTAACTCATGCCCCGGCTGCCCTTGGACCACCATCCTTCCCAACTCTGTCTCCTAAGTAGCTGCCCTTGCAGGTACTGTAGCTGATTGAAATTTGGAATGTTTTGAGTGACATATCAGTTTTCAAAAAGCTTAGGATTCTGACTCATGCCAGTGGATCACGCCTGTAATCCTAGCTATTCAAGAAGCTGAGATCTAGGAACTGCACTTTAAAGCCAGCCCAGGTAGGAAAGTCCGTGAGACTGTTATCTCCACTAAACCACCAGAAAACTGGAAGTGGCACTATGGCTTAAGTGGTAGAGTGCTCCCCTTGAGCTGAAGAACTGAGGGGCAGTGCCCAAGCTCAGAGTTCAAGCCCCATGACCGACAAAAAAAGGAAAGCCTGGAGCTGGTGGCTAATACTTGTAATCCTAGCTACTCAGGAGGCTGAGATCTGAGGATCACGGTTCAAAGCCAGCTTGGGAAGGAAAGTCTGTGAGACTCTGATTCCAATAAACCACTAGAAAACCGGAAGTGGTGCTGTGGCTCAAGCGGTAGAGTGCTAACCTTGAGCTGAAGAGCAGAGGTACAGCGCCCAAGCCCAGAGTTCAAGCCCCATGACCAACCAAAAAAGAAAGAAAGAAAAAAGTTTAGGATTCTGGAACATTTCATACTGCAGATTTCCAGATTAGAGATAATCAACTGGTAAAGTCTATGCACATATTCCCAAATCTGAAAAACTCCCAAACCTGAGATACTTCTGGTCTCACATAGTTAACCCATTGCTTCCTGGGCTCTTAGGAAGCAAGTCACTGAGGCCTCCTCACACCCAGGAGGAGAATTAAACCTTGCCTCCTGATGTCAGGAGCCCCAGGAAAACTGTGTTAAATAAAGCCAGCACAGCAGTGAAGAAACATGAGATACTTCAAGCTGTGCAAATGCCCTTTTCTCTTTCAGGTTTCCTTCATTTTTCTCAGCATCTACAAGGGCTTCTGCCTGCAGTGGTTTGTCTCTGTGCTGTCCTCCTGGGGAGTTTATATTTCCCTATCCCTCCTCATTGTCCTCTTGGTGGAAGTCTTCCTTGAACTAAGGCATCTTCAAGAAGGGCTGACTCTTCTACTTCATCCACAAGGATGAGCCTAGACTCAAGGAGATTCACTTCCTTCTTCGGATTTGTATCTAATACTACTAGTATTTATCAGTAAGAGTGTTCTAGCTTGTGTCCTTTTGATGTGCCTCTACCCTTTCCTTTGTTTATTTTGTTAAGTATTTCCTTAGTCTCAAGGAAACTTCCCTTGTTTCTTTTTTTTTTTCAACTGAGTCCTTGAATCTGCCATTTCTCTGATACCTACTTGTGTTTGGAGAATGGGGTGATTCTAGCTCTGGGCACTAGATGGGCTCATTGCTTCTTGGTGCTTGCAGTGGGGCATTGCCTGTACTTTTATACATATCTTCATTGATCTCATACGCATTTTGTACTAACCGCTTCCAAAATGAGAGGCCAGCTCCCTCTGGCCTCCTGGCCTCTGATCCTGCTTGGCGGGTTGGTAGGATGTTTTTAACATGCACACAGTGTGCATACAGGTGGTCTTGCCCCTGCCTCCCCAGGGCCACATGGAGCAGTCTGTTGCCCTGTCAAGATCAGAGCTGCTGCCTGTGGCAGTTTTCCATGTGATTCTATGTCCCTACATTCATGGCTGTTTTAGCACGCCACTCAAGTGTTGCCTTTTAGACGTGGCTTTTTTTTTCACTTAGTAGATCACATCTAAGCTTCCTACAGACTGTCACATGTGTCAGCAGTCAGCCCCTTTCTGTCACTGGTGGTGTTCTGTAGTGTGGATGGCTATACTCCTTTCAAGGACAGTGGGATTGCATTTGCATGTTTGTGAGTAAATATAGGTTTAAAATTCACCGTGGAAAAGACCTGAGTGAGAATACTGGGTAAACCTAAGTCACAGGGAGCAGGAGGGGGACAGGACTTGGCTTTGGTGGTATGGGGAACTACAGAAATGTGATGAGAGGCAGGCCAGGGACTTGCGCTCGTGCTCTGCTGAGTGTCCTGGCACCAGTGCCTTGGATACCCACTTTGGTATGAATACAGAGACAGAGAATCCTTGGCTGAGGCTTCCAATCTGTAACGATCTGAAGGTTATCAAAGCCACTCTCTAGAAATGTAGAAACCGTACTTTGGGCTGGCGTGGGCCTGATGCTTGTCCTAGTAGTGCTCAGTGTTCACTGGGTTTCTCAGCCTCTTCCTTTTGCTTTGTCAGTCAAGGCCGGGACCTGCAGCTCTGCCTGTGGGACCTGGCAGAGGGCAGGAATGCCATCGTGGACTCTGTGCGCCTGGAGAGTGTAGGATTCTGCAAGAGCTCCATCCTGGCTGATGGACAACCATGCTGGATGCTTGCTGTGCCAGGGAAGGACACTGATGAGGTAAGGACCAGCCCTCCTGAGACTCCTGTTTCTGCGCATTCTGCCCCCTGGTGAGGAAGCAGACCATACCTAGGAGACCATATGACGTTGCTTGTTGAACTCTAAGGTCTGCTCATATGACTGCAGCTCCAGAGGCCTTGGGCCAATGCATGGCTGGTTCTACCTCTGGTTATATGTGAAGTAGGTGTGCCCATGAGCCATCCTCCCAGGACAGGCATGCCCAGAAGATGGAGAGCCAAAAGGTCACTGTCTGGTGGTGCCAGTGACCAGAAGTGTTGGTATCATAGTGACTGGTCAGGCTGCATTAGGGTGCCCGTGACTCCAGGGACAGAGGAAGAGAAGCAGTGCCTAGGACAGGGGGTGGAAGCAGGAATCCAGGGCAACAGCTGGCACAGATGAGGAAGACAGAGCTATGGCTCAACCCTGGGTCTGCCAAAGGTAAAGTAGAGATGAACCAAGAGTGACAATTGTTGGGCCTTGTGAGTGTGCAGGGCAGTTTGCCCCAGGGAGCTGTCAGTCAGGGAGGAGGGGGAGGGGGCCTCCTGTCTTCCACTTTGCCCCCCGCAGGCCTGGGGCCCTTTGTGGCTGGCAGCCCTGGGCAGGGCGGCTCCTGCTGGTGCTGGCAGATGAGGCCCATGTACTACGTTAAGCTTGGCCCCCACCCAAGAAAAGTCATTTTGTCTTCGAGCAGATCTAGTTCATAAATAATGAGATAGGAACAGGCATTTATTTGTTCATGATTGCATTTAAATCACCAATTAGGAGCTACATACATTTTTCTTGCCAATTTGCCAGAAACCTGTTAAAAGTTTTTATTAATGTGAATGGGAGGAGCCTGCTTCTTCCTGAATGGCAGTGTCATCCTGAACTTCGGGAGGATTTGTTCTGTCCCTGAGGGTAGTTGCTAAACAGTCCTTCATGTGCCCCCCTCTCGATACCCCCAGGCCACTGTACTGGCCAAGATCAGCCTGTCACCTCCTTCCCTCGAGGCCACAGGTCCCCGCCTGGTTTTAAGCCACTTCCTGGCCCTCAGCTCTCTCAGAACAGGCGACATCAGTATTTTACAGGAGCTGCACCCTAGAGACCTTGCACTTCTTGGGAAAATTGTTGTTTTCCACATTCCCACCTGGAATCTGCCTAGACTGGGCCCTGGAAAAGCATTGCTGGCCTGTGCCCAAACAATGCCCGGGGAGCATGCTCCCGCCCTGCTCGGCCGTCTGGGTGGCCACACTTGCCCAAACCCAACATTTTCCTTCTGGAAACAAAAGTTGTAGTTGGGTGCCAGGTGGAAAGCTGGTGTCTGTAGGAGGCTGGGAGCACAGGGAGGCCAGGAGCTCCTCCTCCAACCCCCACAGAGGCCTGTGCAGGGAGCCTGGGCCAGGCAGTCATGGGTCTGGCCTGTGCTCTGTTCTCTCGCACATAGGGTAGGATTGAAGTACCACAGCTCCCTCCTCAGGTCTCCGGGGCTGCCCTGGCTTTTCACCCCATCCTTCTTCCCAGACAGAAAGCAGATCTTATCAACCCCCCCCCCCCCCCCCCCCCCCCGGCCTGCCTAAGACCCTTTTCCTTGAGCCCCTCCTTACTGCCACCAAAGGGGTCTTCCTGAGCTCACAGAGGGCCAGGACTCCATTCATCTGTGGACTGGGCAGACTTGTGACTTGGGCCTCCTCCAGTGCCACCCTCACCCCCAGAAACATGTCTGTGCCCAGGGCAGCTTTTCCTCTTCAAGGTGTTTGGGTCACCGCTCAGCCCTGGTTTGCTGTGCTGTGGTCATGCCTCGTACCTGTGGCTCTTCTCACAATGGTGCTGGTGGGACCCGCAAGGAGATCCCTGCAATGGAGTTGATGTTGATATTACTCTGTGTGTGTGTGTGTGTGTGTGTGTGTGTGTGTGTGCGCGCGCGCACGCGCGTGTGTACGCTAGTCCTGAGGCTTGAAGTTAGGGCCTTGGACACTCGCCCTGAGCTTTTTTTCTCAAGGCTAGCACTCTACCGCTTGAGCCACAGCTCCACTTCCAGCTTTTTGGTGGTTATGGAGATAAGAGTCTTATAGACTTTCCTGCCCAGGCTAATTTCACGAATTTCAAACAGGTGAGAGCCACTAGGGCCTGGCTTGCTATTACTTCTATAGAAAGCGGCAAGGATCTCAGAGCACTCTGTCTTTTTCGGATTCCCCATGTTGCTCTGGCAACTGGGACTCGATTTTTAGACGTCCTTTTACCCATGTTTCTTTCCACTTTGTTAAGTTTTTTTTTTTTTTTTTTTGGTCGGTCATGGGGCTTGAACTCTGGGCCTGGGCACTGTCCTTCAGCTCTTCAGCTCAAGGAGAGCGCTCTACCACTTGAGCTACAGCGCAACTTCCGGTTTTCTGGTGGTTTATTGGAGATAGGAGTCTCACGGTCTCTCCTGCCCGGGCTGGCTTTGAACCACGATCCTCAGATCTCAGCCTCCTGAGTAGCTAGGATTACAGGCGTGAGCCACCAGCACCCGGCTTAAGTTTTTTTTAATATATAATTTTAAAATGCATTGTAGCCAGGTACTAGTGGTTCATGCCCGTAAGCCTAGCTATTCAGGAGGCTGAAATCTGAGGATTGAAGTTCAAAGCCAGCCAAAGCAGAAAAATCCCTGTGAGACTCTTATGTCCAATTAACCACTCAAAAACTGAAAGTGATGTTGTGGCTTAAGGTGGTAGAGCACTAGCGTTGAGCAAAAGAGTTCAGTTAGAGAGTATCTAGGCCCTGAGTTCAAGCTCCATAGCCAACAAAATAAGTAATAAAATACAATGCATTGTGGAAAAATATACATAATTTCATTATTATTATTAAAGTGGCAAGTAATGAGTGTATTTCTTTTTTTTTTTTGGACAATGTAATCCCTTTCTTTGCTTTCTGCCAGTTTTCCCCTCCTGTCTCAGCCCACAAGTTACATAGGTCATTTTCCACTGAACAGTATAATTGTATTTGTTCACCCTTCTTCTCTTTCTGTGTTCCCCCTTTTGCCCTCCCCTAAAAAACTCAAATGAAAAAACAAACACTACTACTACTACCAACAATAACAACAACATTAAACCATGTTTCCATTTCCTGGAGTTCATTTCAATAAATAGTATTTTAAATGTGCAGAAAATTTCATCTTTGAGTTTCTCTCCTAGGTCTGACTGTTGGTGTGTGAATGCCTAGAGTCCTGTGTACGTTACTTTGTCCAGTTATATTTTAGATCTAGCTTCCACATGAGAGAAAACAGTTGCCGTTTGTCTTTCTGAGCTTGGCTTGCCTCACTTAGCATGATTTGTTCTAGGTCCATCCATTTCCTTGCCATTTTACTAGAGGTTTTTGAATTTCTTTTCCCATAAGGAGTCCTGGTATCCATACCTGCCTCCACACTTGCCATCAAATTTTCTTGTCATTCCCCCTGACCTTTAACCTCCGAATTCCAGCAGTGTTTTCCCTGTCCTCATGGCTCCTTGTCTGGCAGCCCCTCCTTATTCTGCTTCCATTACTTAAGGTTTTTTTGTTTTTTTTTCTGTTCTCTTCATCATGTCACTGGATTGGTGCCCCTGCTGCCTCTTCTGTCCTGCTGGCAGCTCACCTGGAGGCTCCTGGATTCTGTGAGGGAAGCCTTCTCTGTGTACACACGTGTGCATATGTGTATCATGTACATATGTGCATATGCCTGTTTGCTCATGTGTGCATGTGTATAAAAAGGCAGGGACTCCAAGACTCACTTCTGCAGCAGAGGAAACTAAGAACTATGAGTGTGCACTAGTGCTCAGCAGAGGCAAATGCCTGGCCATTTGCAGCCAAGCCACATGGGGACGCTGGTGAGAGCATCCTGCTCAGAGAACACCACATTTTGGTAGAGTAGGTGCCTCTGTCAGAAGTGGGCCCATCAACTGGACACTCACCAAGGACCAGACCATGTCCCTGGCTAGAAACTGCCCCCCATAACTCATGTGGCTGAGTTAGAATTTGAACCTGAGTACCTGGGTATGCTCTCCAGTGTGAGTTAATGAGGGCCTTGCAGCTTTTACCTGCACAGGCACTGGCTTCTCAGACTCTGTCCCTCAGCCTACACAGTCACACCAGCTAGCACATCCAGTAGACACCCCAGCCTCTCTGGACCTCTCATTTCTTATATACAAATTGGGGATTCCTTATGTCATGGCCTCTCTTTCCAGGCTGCCTGTACATCAGTGTTCTTGTGGGTGATTGGTAGAAAGCCACTCCACTGATCAAGGCCAGCAGAGCCTCTTCAGTTCTCAGCCATAGCAGAGGGCACAGATTGGTTAGCCTAGAAGCACTGGGGCAGCATAGACTCAGGGCACAGAAAACACTGAACAGGCCCTGCAATGCAGTGTGTCATGTGGGAACCCTCTACTCCTCAGCTCAAAGGAGGGGTGCTTGCCCTCCCTGGCAGCCCAAGCACTCAATGTATAGAACAGCTAGGGGCCCAATTCTAGCTTGTGGTGTGGCAGCCTGGGCCATCCCCTAGGGTTGGTGCTGAGCTAAGCCAAGCTAGTCACCGGATGAGAGGCCCACTCAGGTTGGCAAGTTGGCATGAGAGCTGGACTATAAGGCATATCTCCAAGCCAGGCACAGAGGAGCCCAAGGCTAAAGCAGCCTAATTATGTGGGCCAGACACTTGAGCACTAGAAAGCCAGGATTCAAACATGGCTGCCTCAGGCCTTGTGTGCTATGCTCATATCTTAGGCCACGGTGGGGCTGGGTGCCATTTGATATATTCAAAGTAGCTTCTGTGTAAAACCTATACCGGGAAAGAGACAGGAGTGAGAGAAAGAAAGGGAGCGGCCAAAGTCAGGTCCAAGTGCTCCAGGCCTGCTCTGCCCAGATGGCAACACAGGAAGGGGCCAGAGGCAGCCACCAGTTGGTGACCAATGGTCACTCACAAATGATGTGAGCATTGATTTCACAAGTCCCAGCAGCACCCAAGCCCTTGAGCCTATGCAGCCTAATTAGGAGACATGGAACTCTATAGGGAGAAGAGCAGACAGAAACTCGCAGCAGCCTTGGCTAATCGTCTTAAAAGTCTCTTGTTTGTGTAGCAGAGACTTGGCTTGGCATGGGCCCAAATCAACTTGTTTTCTCACTGTCAGGTTCAGATTCTGGAGATGCCATCCAAGACGTCAGTGTGCACCCTGAAGCCGGAGGCAGACGCCAAGCCAGGCATGCCCATGTGCCTGCGGCTGTGGCAGGTAAGGTGAGCGTGCGCCAGCCACGCCCTGCGGCCACGCCTACTAGGCCCTGAGTCATGCCCCACTCAGGGTTTGATTTGTCATCAAACCAATGGGTAATAGCCCTTCAGAGGACATATGCACACTGCTGTCTGTGGCTCCAGTGGCCCTGACTGGGCTTCTGTTTTCCCCTCACTGCTGCTGCTGCATCTAAGGAGCTCCTGTAAATGCCCCCCAAAACCTGGCTTTGAGGATTTTCCTCCATAGGCCCCACAGGGTCCCCTTTGGCTGGTGGCAGTGAGGAGGGGACAGTCAGGCCAGCTGCTTGTCCTCCCCCTCAGCACCCTGGTTCCAGACTCCTCTGGAGCTGGGAGGGACATGGTGACTCACCTGTGCAGGTTTGAAGAGACAGGGCAGGATCTACAATTTGGAAGTGTTTGCTCCCAAGCACTAGGAGAAGAGCATCCCCCAAGGATCCTGGCCCAGGCTTTTTTTTTTTTTTTTTTTTGGTCTGTCCATATGAATAGAAAGATCACTGGCCCTTATTGCTGTCTGTCTCTGTTTAACCTCGCCCCCCGCCCCACTCCAATTTCTTTTTCTTTTTTAACCCCAATTTCTTGACTGAAGTTTCAGGATCTTCAGTAAGCTGATCCTGGGGTGTCACCTCTGCCACTTCAGCCTCATAGCGAGAAACCACTGGGGAGATGGAGGAGGTGAGGGCTTCTGAAACACCAGAAACTACAGAATTCCTGGAGCAGCAGCTTGGACTCAGTTGGGCTTCAGAGGCAGAGCTTGGGTCCTTGGCCTCTTTGGGTCCAGATGGGGCTCCCCTGAGGGTTCTTGGCACTTCCTCTGGGAAATGAACATTTCCCCTCCTTACTTCCTTAGCCTATCCCTGCTGGAGTGTCTGAAGGGGGTGAGCACAGTGCTCCCACATCCTGGGACAGGACTCCCATGGCGGCCAGCACCCGCTCCTATTCTGCTCCCAGGGAAACATGGCTTGTTGCGCAATCGCGTAGAAATTCCAGCAGAAAAAAGTGTGTAGAAAGGGATGTACAAACTTGTTATGGTAATTAATCGAGTTGACAGAAGGACAAATCAGTTTTGATGGTGCTCTGGATCTAGGTAAAGTGCTTAGCTACAGTCACCTATGGTAACTAGGAAGACTCCTTTTTTTTCCCCTCCCTAAGGTCTGGATTGTAAGTTATTAATCTGAATGTAGTGATGGTTTGATCTAGTATTTTTTTCTCCTTGAAACACTCAAGTACATTTTTATTTTGCTCCTCAAAGTAACCAACCTACATTGTTAGAAGCATTATTGCCAGGACTTAAGATCAGGATCTAAGTCACACCTGAGGTCGCAGTGTTGGTGTGAGCCTTCAAATAAAGCTTCCAGTCCCTGAATCTTGGGGCCACTTTAGGAAGCCCCAACTCTGGCCTGCTGTGGTGCATTTAGCTGTACATAAAGGAACAAGAAGGGCTTCAGAGCAAGTCCTTGCCTCTAGATCTCAGCTGAAGGTCAGGAGAGATGCCAGAGACCAGATCAAGGATTTAGGGCACAGGTAGCAAAGCACAGGGTGACTAGCCAGGTGCTGGGCTATTGATGGCAGCCTGTAAGGACTACAAGTACCAGCAAGACCCTCCTGACTAGGCTGGTTCCTCCTCTGGTCACTCCATGGCACTACCACACATAGCCCTCATTGCGGAACTCAGAGGCCACAGGCTTCATGCAGACTGGCCAGAACCATTGTTCATGATGAGAGGAGCCCATTGCCATTTCTCAGTAAAACTCAGCCTCAGCTTCTAACACTGAGCCCTGGCTCCTGTGCTATTAGAGTTGCTTGTGGGACACATGTTATAGGCCTGCAGCTAATTCAGACCTCCGTGCTCAGCCATGTGAACTAACTTTCTCTCTCTCCCTCTCTCCCTCTTTCCCTCTCCCTCTTTCCCTCTCTCTCTCTTCCTCCCTCCCCCCCTCTATCCACCCCCTTCCTTCCTTCCTTCCTTCTTCTTCTTCTTTTTTTTTTTTTTTATTGCTGTTGTTGGTTGCGGGGCTTAAACTCAGGCAGGGCCTGGGCTCTGTCCCTGAATGTTTGTGCCCAAGGCTAGTGTTTTACCACTTTGAGCCACCAGCACCACTTCTGGTTTTCCAGTGGCTATCTGGAGTTAAGAGTTTCATAGACTTTCCTGCCCTAGCTGGGACTTTCTTGCCCCAGCTGGCTTTGAACTGTGATCCTCAGATCTCAGCCTCCTGAGTAGCTAGGATTAAAGGCATGAGCCACCAGTGCCCAGCATGAAGTCTCTCTTAAACCACTGCTCAGTGCTGGGACTGATGGCTGTATCCCCTAGGATGATTTGGATCCTGCAGCACTCTTCTGTAGTTATTCCAGAGGCTAAATAAACGAAGCGTCTGCCTGGGGCACAGAGCCCTCTGACCCTCACCCTCATTCATCATGGTAGCAAAGGCTGCTAGAGTCTCACACACACCAGGCTTTCAGGGGTGGGGGCTTCTGCAGACACGCTGACAAAGCCCAGAAAGTTCATTTTTCACCAAGTTAGAGCTTGTGATTTTCCTGCCTGGGAGTTCTACAGGTGACCAGCCTCAACAAGGAGTGGCCTTGAGTCTTGGCCCTGGGGAGCAGGCAAGAGGATGGATCCCTGGCAACCCAAGGGATGATGGGTACCCAGGGCTTCCCCTTGGCTCCTGTGCAAGTGGATGTAGGTTCTCAGAGCTGGTAAGAAGTGCTACAGCCATGTGAGTCTGGGGCTCGGCTGGCCTCTCTGGGCTGTGCCCTCCAGCCCCCCAGCAGCTCTGCCAGACCAAAGCTGATGGTGTCAATCATCAAAGGAGATGTGTGGGAAGGCATTGTGGGGGGAGAGGGGGTGCAGAGCAAGCCTTAAGGCTACCAAGCCATGTGGGAAGCAAAGGAAACTGCTCCCTGACAGGGCCATGCTGCTCCAGACCTGGCAGAAGATGCAGCCCAAGGCTTGTCTCCCCAAAATACACTGGAGTCAGGGCCCTTCTGGAAGCTGTTCACTCTTCTATTCTCCACAGGCCAAGTGCAGTACCCGGCCCCTCCTTCTGGCTGGGTATGAGGATGGATCAGTGGCCCTGTGGGACATCTCGGAGCGGAAGATGTGCAGCCAAGTCTCCTGCCATGAAGAACCCGTTATGGGCCTTGACTTTGACTCCCAGAAGGCCAGGGGTGTCTCGGGCTCTGCGGGCAAGGCTCTGGCTGTCTGGAGCCTGGATGGGCAGCCATCCCTGCAGGTCAGTGCACGGGCCCTGGGTCTCATTTATCCTGCTCTGCACTAACAGTCTGATAGGCTGAAACAATATTTAGGCATGAAGAGGAGCTGCCGCAGATCCCTGGCTAATTAATCACTCGGAGGTGGTGCTGGCGGGCCTGTCCTCAGCCAGTACAGGAGGAAGGGCATGTGGGCGTGGCCCTGCACTCACATGGTTTGGGTTTCTCCCAGACCACGAGTTCACAGATGACATGTCAGTCTGTCTGGAGAAAGGCACGTAGAGTCCAGGCAGATCCAAACCCCTTTGTGAAAGCTCAGAGGAATTGGGTCAGTAAAGGAACTGATTAATCAAAAAACCCTCCACTATGGAAAGCACAGAGATCTAGCCCCCCCAGTGGTAGGCTTCGAGCTAGCTCTAGGGAAGTTGTTACTCAGGGGTAGCAGGAAGGTACCCCCCTCAAGGCAGGTGTGAAGCCTCAGAGCTGTGGGATTACTAGAGGTCTCCCCCAATTTCTTGTGCTTTATCCAACTGGTATAGCTGAGAATTGCTAGATATCCAGGCCTAGGCCTGTGGTTGTAGTGTGCAGTTACAGGGTTGTCAGGGTGGCAGTTTTACCCAGTAGGGTCTGGGGCATTGGTTCAAGGTGGGGCAGTATGACACATATCCAGGCCTTGCTTTGGTGTGAGTCTATCATGCTACAGGCCATGGGGCCCTCAGAAAGTGGCCTGGTGACTTAGGGAGTCTGGTGTAGGCACAGAATAGTCATTCGCCTCAGAAGATAGATTTTGACCTCCCAGTGCCACTTGGGAAGCAGCCCTGGTAAGAGAGGGTGGCAGGTGGGAGTTGTGGCTCCTGTATGGTATCCAGCAGCAGAAACCACTGCAGGCCCACTCCTGGCCTTACTAGGACTCTGGGCGACAGCTCTGAGGAAAGGATCTGGGTGTGGTGGTCCACATATTCCATATACAGCCTTTCCCAGTAGCCTTGGCATTCTCTAGCCTGGACCCTGCAGCTGGGAGGGTGGGTGCGCCTTACCTTTGGCTGATCAGATATCCTGAGTGGGTACCACTTGAGTCCCTGAGGCATGTGATGGGTTAGTATCCTAGGTGAAAGTCTGGACTTGGGTGGTACTGAGCAGGACCTGGGCCCTGTGGATGTTCACAAACCCATGGTACAACGGAGACTCATCATAGGGCCATGCTGTGAGAGGGACAAGTAAGGACAGTGGACAGAGGGGGCAAGGATTGCAGCAGAGGAGGAGTTCTGAGCAAGAGAGAAGAGCTAGAAGGGGTGCCTGAGAAGATGAGACACATGTCTGGGTCTGCGCACTGAGGAGGATGGAGTGGAGGCAGACCCTGAGTACTCCAAGTGTCAGAGAACAGAGGTGAGAGACACAGCAAGGCCTCAGCATGGAGGCAGTGAGGCTGGCCGGGTATCCCTGCCAGGGTTTCTGCAGAGCCCAGTAAAAAAGGGGAAGAAGGGTAGTATGGAGTCTACCAGCCAAATAGGCATCCAGCACACCTCCTGGGCATTGACTAGCCTAGGAGGCAGACAATTGTTTACCAGGCACACAGTAGATTGGGAGTGGAGCTGTCCTGTCTGTCCATCCATCCTTCCATCAGTGTGTAGTGAAACCCACAGAGACCCTGTTGGAAGGAACAGTTTCTCACACCTCTACCCAAGGCAGGTGGTGTCTCTCAGCCCTTGGATCTGTGGGCTTTAGTGTGAGAGGGGGTGGGGTGAAAGCCAAGATGCTTATAGAACACTGGACGGAGCCACTCTGGGTGCAGAATCCTGAACTACTGTGTCTAGATGCTAAGCCCAGCCAGTGGGCATGGGCGTCTCCCTCATACCTCTTCCTTCTACTCCTCAAGCCTGATGTGGGGACACAGCAGCACTGACCCATAGGGTCCAGTGTTGGTCCCCCTATGGCTTGACCCTCATCTGTCTGACTGTGAAAGGTTGAACCCAGGCAACTTTCCCAAGAGAGCTGTGCAGTTCCCTACCCAGGCTTCCTGTACCCAGCACAGGCTCCCTGGGAGGGGGCTCTCCTGGCCTAGATCTGTTTGGTCTCTTCTGGAGTGTTTGGGAAACAGCTGCTGGAACTTAAGATTTAAATTTATGAGGCACGTTGCAGTCCAGAGATGAACTTTTACTCCACTAATGAATTGAAAAGTTAAAGCAGAAGGGAAAGCAGGAATTGCAGCCTGGAAGTGGTTGGGGTGATGGCTGGTGCTGGGTAGGGTCTGGCTGAGCCATACACATCAAAGGGGAGGGGAACCCTCCCCCCTGCAGCTGAGCACACTGCTGTTGGGAGGGAGAGGGTGACCCTGCAGATTGGATAAAGGCCTGGTGTAGTTTCATCCGGTGTCATGTCTAGCCCTAGTCCCAGAGACCTTGGAGATTCCAGGTTCTGTAAAACCCAGGCCTCTGCGGAAAAAGAATTGGGGTATGTTGCCAAGACAAACCATCTGAGGGGGTTCTTGATTCTTGGGGCTGTTAGGAAACTGAGTCACAAGGATATTGGAGTAAAGGAAGAAAAGAATATAATCTCAACAGACCAGATCATCTTTAATAGAGTTAAAGAGGGACTCCATGGTGGCCTGAGGAGAGTCAGGAGACATGAGGCATAAAGGTTGGGGGGCAGGGTCACAGGTAGCTGAGTGTTCAAAGAGTCTGAGTTTATTATGGTGTAAGTTTGGCAGGTCCAGGAAAGAAATCTAATGTTTGAACAAGTCTCCTACCTTGTTTGCAAGGAGCTTGGGCACTTAGCACCTGGGCATGGGGTGGGCAAGTAGATTAAGACTCTGGGCTGGAGACTAGGCTGGAGAAGTTTGGGAAAATCCCTTGGTGGAACAGTAATCAGTGGGGCAAGCCATGGGAGCAATACTGAGTTATGAGAACAAAGCAGATTCCCATCAGGGGCAAGGGAGGTGGCCTTGAGCCCTCAGCATTCATAGGGTCCTCACCCATGACAGAGCACTGCAACATGGCTGCCTGTCTTGGCCTAAGAGCCACGTGGGTATAGACGTGCCTCCCTTGTGTCCTCTTGCTGAAACCTCTAATGAGCCCAAATCAATCTCTCCTGGGCGGCGCTGGGGAGCAGAGCCGTGGACGCGGTTCCCGCAGCAGAGCGTGGGTAATCAGAACCAGATGGCCGCTGCTCTGCGCATTCCTGGCACCTGAGGTCATGTGCTGTAAGAGCCACTGGTGGCCAGAGATCCTTCCTGGAGGGTCCTAGTCCAGGCCAGGGCTCCACCAGGGGCTGTGGCAGTGACCAGGAGGCTACCTGCTCAGGCCAGTGCCCACAGATGGCTCCGAGACAATTGATGATGCCCAAGCCCCATGCCTGCCTTATGAGGTGGCTTTACCACAAGCCACTGGGTTTGAGCTTGGACTGCTGTTGGCTACAGGTGGTCCGCAGGCCCCATTCTTCCTCCCACGCTTGGGGCAGGGCCCACAGCCTTGAAGCAGGGACTGATTTACAGCTAGTAGTATTTTTAGGTCTTTAAGTAATAATGAGGCTCCCCCTACCCCAGTCAGCCTTGGGCCAGAAGTGGTCCTGCCACGCTCTCTCCTCACTGCATTTAGCCAGTGTCCTGGATGTGTTCCCATCTGCAGTCCCATCTGGATCACAGTGTGGCCGGCTCTACAGAGGCCTCTACTTAATGGCCACCACAGGGCCTAGAGGCAGCCAGACACTGCAGGCAGGTCTCTTTCATTGCCTTTAGGGGAGCCCGGTCCTCTGCCTCCATGCTTTTGTTTCCAGGAGTGGCTGTGGTGGTCCCTGAGGACAGTGGGGCCACAGTGGTCAGTGGTGAATCTGCTCAGCCATGCCCCTGGGCAGGATCTGGCACCTCAGCCGCTCCCAGGTGAAGGCACTAGAGGCCACGAGACAGCAGAGGCACCGCTGCCTCTGTCTACACCTCTTTTTCTGGGGAGTTTGAGAGCCAGGACTGTCCATGTGTTGACTTGCTGGAGCTCTGGATCTTCAGCCGCAGGGTATAGGTTTAAACACAGCTCTCTCAACCAGGTGCTGGGTGAGAGCTGGTTCACACCTGTAATCCTAGCTACTCAGGAGGCTGAGATCTGAGGATCACAGTTCAAAGCCAGCCTGGGCAGAAAAGTCTGTGAGACTCTGACCTCCCATTAATTACCCAAAAACTGGAAGTGGAACTGTGGCTCAAAGTGATAGAGTGCTAACCTTGAGCACAAAAGCTCAGGCCCTGAGTTCAAGCCTATGACCAACCTCCCCACCCCCCCCCCCCCAAAAAAAAAAACCAACCCACAAAAAACCTTTCTCCTCTCAGGAAATGCCACCCTGGGGGTGGGGTGGGGGTGGGGGGTAGGAGAAGTCTCATAAATAAGGAGTAGCAAGGAATTGACCCTGAGCTAGGTCCAGTGCTCAGTGACCAGAAGTTGCCTTTCTACCACTGAGCCAGGGCAAAGTTCCCAGGAGATGGGGCTGGGAAGGTGGCTCAGAGGCAGAGTGCTTGCCTTGCATGCATGAGGCCCTGGGTTCGATTCCTCAGCACCACATAAGCAGAAAAAAAAGCCAGAAGTGGTGTTATGGCTCAAGTGGTAGAGCACTAGCCTTGAGCTGAAGAGCTGAGGGACAGCGCCCAGGCCCAGAGTTCAAGCCCCATGACTGACCAAAAAAAAAAAAACAACAAAGTCCCCAGTAGAGATGAGGATAAACTGAAGTCAAGTCAGCCTCCCACCCTGGTTCCCGCTGCCAGTTCTCCCAGGCCAGTCACGTGCTGGGCCCGGGGCATCATAAGGAGGGTTCAAGTTTGTATCCTCAGGCAGGTGGCTCCGCATTGCATGCACACGGGCACTGTGGTGTCTGCCTTATGACCTTGCTCCGGTGCGGGCCTTCAACTGAGTAGTGGGGATGCTGCTATGGATAGCTTGTGGGGGGAGCAGAGTAAGGAGGAGGCCCCAGCAGCTGGGCCCTACAGCCTGCCCATGATGCTAGAGTAGACAACTGCTCATGGTACAGCCCGTTCTGCTGCTCACAT